CCCCGTGTAGTACACGGGTCTCACACCTAGTATATATATATATATATATATATATATATATATATATATATATATTATTCAAATAATAGTGCTAATAGATGATCTGATGACTGACCTGGTGTAAGCTGCTGATGAACTTGTGGGCATTTGCCAACTCGGAAGCAGCTATTATTTCAGACTCTGTGGCCTCACCGTCTTTTCCATAAGCAATGTTGGTTCGGATGGTGTCATTGAACAGGATCGGCTCTTGGCTCACCAGACCCATCTGCAGCCTCAGCCACTTGAGTTGAAACTTTTGTATCTCGATTCCATCCAGCGTGATACTGCCTGAGTCTGGATTATAAAATCTTTGCAACAGCGAGATCACTGTTGATTTCCCACTTCCACTCTCTCCAACCAATGCCACTGTCTGATCAATATCAACATCAACATCAACATCAAGTTATATAGATATAGATAAGCGGTAAATAATTAGATTGAATTAAACCAGGTAGGTACCTTGCCACTGTGGATGGTTAAGCATAGATCACGGAATATTTGAACGTCAGGTCTGGTGGGATACTTGAAGCTGATGTGACGAAGCTCGATTTCCCCCTTGACATTATCCAATGTCGTCCCGGATTCATCACTTGGGTCAATCTCTGACTTGCGGTCTAGAATGGCAAATACAGAGACAGCAGAAGTCTTGGCTTTGCTTGTATCTGGGGCAAATGAGCTCGACTGGGACACTGCTATGGCTGCCATCGTGAGAGCAAAGAATACCCTGAAAACATCTGAGAATGTGGTCTTTCCAGCCTCAACAAGCCGAGCCCCAGCATAAAAGCTGGCTGCATACACACAGAAAAGCAAGAAAAACGACACTCCAAACCCAATCCCGCTGATCAAACCCTGCTGTATCCCCGCTTTCTTGGGACCCTCACATTTATTTCTATAAAGTTGCATTACTTTCTCTTCTGCGCAAAAAGACGCGACCGTCCTTATGCTCCCAACCGCATCGTTTGCCACCTGGCTTGCTTCCTCATACATCATCTTAGCATCCGCACTGAAGCCTTTCATGAATTTCACCTGAACAAATCCATTGAGTCCTATGAGGGGGATGAGAGCAAGCATGATGAGAGCCAACTGCCAGCATGCTACAAATGCAATGGCTAAACCAGCAGCAGCAGACGATGAATCCTGAACAAGTTGAGCAAGTGCATCGCCGACCAAACCACGAAGGCTGGCCGCATCTGCCGACAGCCTGGCACCAATTGCCCCGCTGGAATTCTCGGGCTTATCAAACCAACCCACTTCCATCCGTATCACCTTCTCAAAGCATAGAGATCTGATCCTTCTTATTAGCTTAGAACCAGCAATAGAGAAAAAATATGATCTCCCAGGATAAGCTAAAAAAGATACCACCCCAAGGACTACATACATTAGAGCCCAGAATCGGGCATCCTTTTTCATTTTATGTGGGGGCTCATAGAAGGTCTTGATCATGCTGGAAATCAGAATGCCAAAAACCGGGAGGACTGCTCCATTGACGATAGCAGCTATGGTACCCATTATGAGTACCGGTATCTCTGGCTTGTTGAGATAGGCAAGTCGTCGGAGTGGCACTTTGGGTGCTGCCTTTTCTTCTTCCGAAGCAGCTTCAACATCCATGGATTCAGCAGCCACAGCGAGTTGTGTAGGCATGCCAAAAGAGTTGGAAATCGAGTGCCGGCTGCTGTTTCCTATGCTAGATGATGATCCTCGGCTTATCGACCGCAGGTACCTTTTATTATCACTACTTGGGGTTGGGGGGTCCTCTGACCCCAGCTGCTGCTTTCTTGAGTCCCTACTAACTTCTTGTAGTTTTATAAGTTGAGCGTATGCTCCTTCAGGATCCTTGACTAGCTCCAAATGTGATCCTGCAACCAACAATTCATAAGCCATTAGCCATGGTGATGTTTTGTATGTGAATTAAACTAGGAGTAGGGACCTACCTTTCTCAACCATCTTTCCCCTATGAATGACTGCAATCATGTCGGCATTTCTTACTGTGCTTAGACGATGTGCTACAATGATGGTTGTCCTATTCACCATAATCCTGTCCAACGCCTCCTGCACAACTCTCTCAGATTCTGCATCCAGTGCACTTGTTGCTTCATCAAGGAGTAGGATTCTGGGATCTTTAAGAATGGCTCTGGCTATGGCAATTCTTTGCTTCTGTCCACCAGAAAGCTGTGTTCCATGCTCACCAACCATGGTGTCC